AATTTTAGTATAGATACATAGGTAAAAAATATTACCTATTATCTTCGGAGCCTGAAAAGACGGAGTAATCAAGTGTCCGAGTACCTGGACACCAGAGCAACGTACTACTTTTTACTGGTGGTAGGACCTCTTGTGAGACCGCGCGGGTAGGTACCACCACCCTGTCTATTTCTGCCATGAAGCAGTAATGCGTTTCGGTTTGAAGGGTGGGGAAGCCGTTGTAACTATACCTTAGAACTTATAACTCAAGGTGAGTGGCGAATTTACGTTGTAGATGTCTATGGGCTCCAGTAACCACTTAACACCAGGTGGGCTGTGAGCTCGTCCACCCATCTAAGCAATACTTCTTTACACCATGACCTGCATAAGGCATAAGGTCTCACGTGGGTGCATCATGATCATCAGCAGTGAGCGAATGATTAGAAGAAGAGGAAGGTCACGTGTTCTTCGTCAAACGAGGTTTGAAGGCACTTATATTGGATAAGCAGTGACTTACCTATGACCCTGGTCTTCCTGACATCCATGATCACAGGTGAGCACAGTCCATATACTCATCGGAAACAAACCAAAAAAAAGAGCCTTTATTTAATTTTACATAACGCATTGAATACGGCCCTGTTTCCAAAACGATCTTTGAACTTACACTGAGATGTTTATCGCGTACAGACGTTCCCAGAAATTGGAATAGTCGAAGCAAAAGTACTGTTATAGATGCTCCGATTCCTTGTAAGCCTTCGTGTGTGGCGGGATTAGCCTCACGACCGCTTTTTTTTTGCGTGTCTGGAGTAGATGTTATAGTCTTTTTATTGTCTTATTTATTCAGGATAGTCGCTTAAGAACACCAGCGTGTTTGGCTCATACTAACGCTCTCCACATCTTGCTATGTATGAGGATTGCGAGCTGTCTTAAATTCTTTTTTTATTTTATTTTTTTGCGTAGATGGATGAGCGATCTCACGGCTTACCTGGTGTTAAGCGGTTACCGGAGCCTATAGACATTTACAACGTAAATGCCGCCACCCACTTTGAGACATGAGTTGATGAGTTGTAAGGTCTCACTTTTAACAGTACAACGGCTGCCCCACCCTTCAAACCGAAACGCATTACTGCTTCACGACAGAAATGGCCAGGGTGGTGGTGCCTACCCGTGCGGACTCACAAGACGTCCTACCAACAGTAATTACGCAAACTATAATTTTGCGGGTTTGATTTTTATAACACGAAGTTATTCCTTCACCGTCGAAGTAAATCGTGAACATTTGTTTAGTACGTATTTCATTGAAAAAATTGGTACCCGCCTGCGGGATTCGAACACCGGTGCATCGCTACATACGAATGCACCGGACGTCTTATCCTTTAGGCCACGGCGACTTCCAATTCGTTCATTCATCAAATTCTGGGTACATGCAAGCACTTAGACCCGAAAAGAGACTAAAAATAGAAAGTAATCCTTTACGACTCAATCTCGTGCTTATTTTGCTCATTTAACATAAACTTAATTAAACAAACACTTGTGTTGGAGTGTTTTTTTTTTATTGCCCTTGTAGGCAGACGAGCATACGGCCCACCTGATGGTGAGTGGTTACCGTCGCCCATGGACTTCAGTAATGCCAGGGGCCGAGCCAAGCCGCTGCCTACCGCTTAATACTCTCCACAAGCCTCGTTTGAAGAAGGACATGTCATAGGGTCGGAAAACACCGTGGAGGGGAGCTCATTCCATAGCCGGATGGTACGTGGCAAAAAAGATCTCTGGAAACGCACTGTGGATGACCGCAGTGGCTCCAGGTAGTACGGATGAACTCTACTCCGGTGGCGGGCGGTGCGATGGTAAAAACGAGATGCCGGTATCATCTCGAACAATTTCTCAGTGTACGTGTTGATGTCTAGTACGCACGCACATGATGAGACCGATTTGATGAATGACCAATGAGGAGTTTTGATAATATGATGCCCTCATGTCCTGGTGGTAGGAACTCTTGTGAGTCCGCATGGAAAGGTATCATCACCCTGCCTATTTCTGCCGTGAAGCAGTAATGCGTTTCGGTTTGAAGTGTGAGGCAGCCGTTGTAACTATACTGAGACCTTAGAATTCATATCTCAAGGTGGGTGGCGGTATTTACGTTGTAGATGTCTATGGGTTCCAGTAGCCACTTAACACCAGGTGGGCTCGTCCACCCATCTAAGCAATAAAAAAGGCCATTCTGAGTAATAAATAAGTGGTTATCCTTGCTCATTAAGACCTCATCGTGACCCACAACAACTTTCGTATACTTCATGTGGCTTGGAATTGCCTTTAGAAGTGCACCGGACGTCTTTTTCTTAAAACCACGACGGCTTTCGGAGGTCCACTTTTTAGAGAAGGGTCATTTACATCCTCCACGTAGACGAGCTAATTCCGAAAACCACCGAAGCACTAAATCAAATCAAAAATTAAAACCGCGTAATTTATTAAGCTCAGATAAGTTTTGGTTGAAAACATATTTCAACAAGCTTATGCATAATTTTACCATAAATTGTATTATTTTGATATATCGCGCATTAGCTTCGACGAACGGAATATATCTATCTTTGGAATAACAGTTAAATGTATTCTGTGAGCATAGTTGAATGAACAAGGATAGTGTGGAGTCAGGTCGGTGGTCCTGTGGTAAGTGACAATGAGTCATAAGTTCTCTTATTTTGATAGCGGTAGGCAGCGGCTTGGCTCTGCCCCTGGCATTGCTGAAGTCCATGGGCGACGGTAACCACTCACCATCAGGTGGGCCGTATGCTCGTCTGCCTACAAGGGCAATAAAAAAAAAAAACAAAACTGTTTTTTTCCTACCTAAGCTGCCTTGAGAGGTTATATCAGCGGAATCTTAACTAGTAGGTGAGCTCACGGGGCTCAAACCTGACGCCCTTGCTAACACGAACCCTAGCAAGAGCCGTGCTTCGCAGAATCTGCCACCGGACCGGAAACGCGACCCACTGAGAAGATCCGGCGAGAAACTCAGTGGGCTGTGCCTGAGGGTGAATTTACTCGTCGAGCCCTTCGTCGCAAGCGAAGTGTTTGACGAGAACGATGACCGATGCTTGAAGTACCTAAAAGCACCGTTAGTGGATCGGGAGGATCCGAAATGACGTGGGAAACTGTGCGGCAGAAAAGCATTGTAAGGAAATTGGCAATTAGCGCGTGGTCACGAACAACTTCTATGATATCTGCCAATTTCTGCCGCGAAGGTTGTTCCGGTCTGAATGATAGGATAGCTGTTACATCAAAAGTGATCGCTGTAGCTTATTGACATTGGCAATGCGTAGTGAAGTCACTTCTAGCAGCATAGGGTTCGTTTTTACGCAATACTTTACCGACAATCAATCCGTGAGCGCTCGTGAGCCTTCCACAGATTTGGCTTGAAGCTAAAAAGTTGCAATTAGTTTCCACCATTCAACACTTTCGATACTCGACACGCAGATGTTTTTCGGTGATGTATTTACATATTTATTATCAGACGATTTTTTTTATTAGTGAGCATCTGACGTGCAAGAATGTCCTTGGCATTGTGCTGCCCGGGAGGCCGTGTTCAAGGTCTCGAGCCGGGATGGGCATTAGTATTTAGTGAAGGATCTGCCCGTACCGAGCCAAAGTCGGAATCGGTACTGTTGACAAAACAAGTTTTTTTTTTTCAAATAATTTATTTCACATAATTTTTTTTTTCTTTCGCAAGTTGCGTAGTTATTATTTTACTATACTTAATAGGTAAGTTGATTATGCGAACTCATTTAAGCTATTATTATAAATATAATATAAAGTAAAAGAAAAAATCCTAGTAATTTTTTTTTTACCTACTTAAGCTTGAGAGGCTATTTCAGCGTAACCTTAACTAGTAGGTGAGCTCACGGGGCTCAAACCGGAGTGATGCTAAAACTGACCCTAGCAGGAGTAGTGCTTCGCAGAATCTACCATCGGATCGCAAAACGCGGCCCACTGAAAAGATCCGGCGAGAAACTCAGTGGGCTGTATCTATGGGTTAACTAATTAAAGTGACTTTAACGGAAGACTAATTAGTCTTTCGTGACCACGGTAGCTATAAAGTATTTGATACATCAGGAATCATATGGTGACAATAAAAAACGCGAAACTAAGCCTTAACAGGAGGTGTTCACGACTTTATAGCAATAAATAGCTAGTAAGTTTTTTTACTGGTGGTAGGACATCTTGTGAGTCCGTACGGGTAGGTACCACCACCCTGCCTATTTTTATCGTGAAGCAGTAATGCGTTTCGGTTTGAAGGGTGAGGCAGCCGTTGTAACTAAACTGAGACCTTAGAACTTATATCTCAAGGTGGGTGGCGCATTTACGTCGTGGATGTCTGTGGGCTCCAGTAACCACTTAACATCAGGTGGGCTGTGAGCTCGTCTACCCATCTAAGCAATAAAAAAAGTAATAGCCCCCTGGATTACATTACGGAGTCATTGAGGAAGACCGGAAGACGTATGGCACGGGGGACAGATGAGGAAGTTGGGGAGCTGAGGAGAACGTTGATGAGAATGTGGATCAATAGGAAGAATGGATTATCGAACATTACAGTGCAATAAAGGGGCTGAAGATGAAAAAAAATAATGTAGCGGTAACTATCATACAACACAAGATATTTGACAGATGCCTGAATCTCGCTTACGACAATTTCAAGATAAGCTTGCATATATACAAGTGCCGAACAACATTCGGACCGTCGTCTACCTAGCTATATCACTCGCTCGTTGGAAGATCTTCCCTTCACCTTAAACCCAATAAATCCATAAATAAAAAAATTTTGCAATGATTCTTCGTTAATCGCAAATTTTGTACTTTATCTATAACGTATTCGCTCTAATGTTTTTCCGGATTTGTTCTGCAAACGGTACCTGTCGTATTGCGAATTCGCATGCCGGTCGGGTTGATGATCCGCGCGTTTATAAAAGAGTGATCTGACATGTTAAATTTCGCATTGTCGAGCCTTCAGCGGAAAGCAGAAGTACATTAAATCCTAGTTTAGATTTTAAGCAATTGTGATTCCTTTTTTTATTTATATTTTTTTTCTAACGCTACTTTTGTGTTTTAATTTTTTTGTGTTCGTCGCACACTGGTGAGTCAATTTTAATTTAGTTTAAAAAAAAAAAACGAAATACTATGTTCTAAAATTTCTAATAAATATTGTACTAGACAATATTAGTGTGTAATTAAAACTTACTCATAGATTTTATGTACATATAGTTTTGATCGTGAAATCACCCCTCAATACCCCGACCTGACTCTTGGGCATCCGTCGTGGGGAGCGAAAGATCTATGATATATATGATGTCGCTCAATCAATAATAAGAAAGACGATATGTGTAAGAGGGGAGTGAGCGAAGAAATGGTATATAATAGAGGAGTACGGAAGGAGAAAACATGATGCGCCGACCCCAGGTGACTGGGAGAAGGGCAGGAGAATGATGATGCTTTTTTTTATTGCTTAGACGGTTGGACGAGCTCACAGCCCTGGTCACTGGAGCCCATAGACATCTACGACGTAAATGCTCCATCCACCTTGAGATGTGAGTTCTAAGGCCTCAGGATAGTTATATGATGTTTAATGAATAGTAAAACACGAAAATTGATAATGTGAAAATTGGGACCCCTGTCAGTCAAACGGGCCTGGCGTTATTGCTATTGTTACTTATTATATAGAGGGGTGAAAGGGTTGGTTTATGCGACATTTTTGCAATTTCACAGGACGGTTCGGTAAAGTTTAAAATTTTGGAAAAAATATCATAACAAAAAAAACCTTCTTCACCTATCTAAGTAAGCTTAGTTGAAGTTCAATTAAAAATATCGAACTGTTGATGCTGATACCAAATAAAACGCACCTTTAATTATTAAGATAAATGTCCCTTACCTTAATTTAAATACCCTTTCATCGCTCGATATGTTATTTCTATGTGCGAGAGATCACTGATTTGTAAAATACATACAAAAATTGGCAGACTGTTGTCTGTATCGACATTCAGACGAAAGTTACTGGTGTTAGGACGGCTTCTTAGCCCGCATGGATAGGTACCACCACCCTGCCTGTTTCTGCCTCAAAACAGTAATGCTTTTGAAGGGTGGGGCAGCCGTTGTACCCTAGAACCTACTTAGGACTCATATCTCAATGTCTATGACATCATTTAGGTTGTTAATGTCTACGGGTTCCCGTTACTATTAAGTAGCCAACAGACCTAAGTAATAAAAGAAGTATTTTAAAAACACGTTAACAATGTTCGCGATTGACTTCCACGGTGAAGGAATATCATCGTGTAATAAAAATCAAACCGCAAAATTATAATTTGCGTAATTACTGATGGTAGGACCTCTTGTGAGTTTGCACAGGTAGGTACCACCACCCTGATTATTTTCGCCGTGAAGCAGTAATGCGTTTCGGTTCGAAGGGTGGAGCAGCCGTTGTAACTATACTTGAGACCTTAGAACTTATATCTCAAGGTGGGTGGCGCATCGTTGTAGATGTCTATGGGCTCCTAAAAAAGCTACTGTCTGATTAACCTTTGCGTATACAGAGGACAAAACACTATATAATAAAAAAATTCCAGGTCTGCGAACATGGACAAAATTATTTCGAATTTAATATTGATATTAATGTGCGGAGGCCTCGTGATGTCTTACGACGAAATAGACGTGGAAGCTGATACAAATATCATGCTCAAAATATTGAGGGTAAGTCGAAATTGTACGGTTTTAAATGTAAGATGAATAATGTTGATTAAACCGTCGCAACCCACCCATAGACACAGGCCACTGAGTTTCTCACCGGATCTTCACATTAGGCTACGATTCTTATCCTTTGCTAGATTCAGCGAAGCACTGCCCTTGCTAGGGCTTGTATTAACAAGTCCTCTTAGGTTAAGATGCGTGAGCTCATTTACCAAGCCGGGTGTAGTTTGAATTTTTCCCTTGGTGGTGGTTATGGGGCGATCTGATGCGGTGGAGGCTGGGCCAAAAGCTACCGTGACTCTAGCGCGCTGGTACCAGGAGGAAGGGAAGACGCCTCTGCAATCCGCAATGCTGTCGTCACTGCCATCACTGGACGTACTGTTAAAGAATAGCTCAGTCAGCAGTGTATCGCGTTCCGACCTTGCAGGCTGATTCTGATCCAGCGGGATATCGTTGTAGTATTGAGCCCCCCTTCTCTGTGACTTAGTGGGTATGGCCCTAAATTCCTTTTGGGTCTGCAGTCCCAAAAAAAGCCTCTCAATCTACCAACGATCAGGTAGGCAAAAAGCTATTGAGGCCAATTATGTCGGTTTTAATAAACCGTCAAAAACTTTTATCGGCTTTCGGTTCTAATGACTTTGGAACTCCAAGCGCTTGTGGTTCGGGCTGTGGACACTGCCAATAGCGGCTATATCATTTTCTATATTATTGGATTTGTATTCTTGAATGGTTTAATGAATAATATGTAACTAATAAGATTGGCAACTTGGTCGAACTAATCGATTCAAATCGACGCCGATAAATTTTGTGTGTTAACAAAATGTTTTATTACACACTGTGTAATAATATTTTCTAATTTTAAATTAAACTAGCTGTACCCGTCCGCTTCGTTGGGCGTTTAAAATTAATAATATTAAATTTCTCACCCCCGCAAAGATTCTCATCATTAACGCCCCCGCAACTGGTCTAGGGAGTCCAACACTCATATAAATATTAGGCTATCCATTAAGTACATGTATTTTCTACATGGATACCAAGTTTCAAGTCAATCGGATGCACGGTTCAGTAGTTATAACGGAACATCCGTAAAAACCATTGTAGATTTATATATTAGTATAGATTTATTTTAAACATCTTTTCTTGGTAACATTGAATTTTTTTTACAAAAAATTACAATCACACAGATAATATTGAATCGACCATAATTTGTATCTTTCATCTCAAGTTAGGTTTATTAGTATTAAAATTCACAGTTTTTCAGATCTATTGAATATGTTCACAGGACATGGCGAATCAAACAAAAGCTGACACTTTGAATTTGCCAGCGAACGCCACCTCTATCCGAGAGAACATCACCGATACCTTTAGGTAATGTGGAAAATTAATTGCTTTAGCGCAACCAATGCCTTGGATGTGTGGTGTCGGCGTGGAATAGCATCAGCCCATCTCCTTTCGTGGAAGGGATTTAAAAGAGAATTTGGCAATAGCGTACCAGTGTACTATGATTGCCAATCTGCTATGAATGGTGTTAAGGTATAAGCCCTCAGATGTGGGGACCGCCATGCCTTTTTCTGGCTCGAAGAATGTTGACTGACACGGTGGTGCAGAAGTTAGCGTTCCTGACTGTTGTAGGGTCGTGGGTTCGATTCCCACATCGGGCAGGCATTCGTGTGACAAACATGCGCGTTGGCTTCTTGTTTGGATGTTTATTAACTAGTAGTGACCCAGCAGTAGTCGAGATTCGACTATAATTAATTGAAATTATAAGCTTATTATTATGGTTCTATTGTCAAACACTATTATATTTCGATAACATAATCACAGTATTCATCAAAACTTACTATAGATCAATAATATTAAAGACAAACAATATTAATCTATTTTCAATTCGACCACAGACTTTAAGCAATAACAAAAGTTTCCCAATTGACAGTAAACAAAGAGTATATTTTTATGTATGTGTGTGTGTCAAATACATGGTAGTGTGTGTAAAGTTTTCTTTATTGATTTAAAGTATCTTTTATGCATTATTTAAAAAAAAAATAGCATTGTGCACTCCTTCTCTATATTCTCTAAAGTGTGAGAAATTTCATACTCCTCCGTCTGCGCGATTTTCGTAAAAAGGGGTACAAGGTTTCTGCTTCACGTATTAATATATAGATATATGTCAATATTTAAACGTATATGTAAAAATAAGAATATCAATTAAAATAAGCCATTACTTAAAAGTCTTAGTTACCAGGTCATAAAATCCCTTACAAAAACATATATGTCAGTCTCTGGTGCCCATAGCACAGGGTATCCTAATTTGGGGCAGGATGACCATGCGTGATTTGTTCCCAGTTATTTATTTATTTGTTCCATTACTGGGCCTTTAACGCGAACGTGTTGTGTGAAGATTCAGCAGATCTGGGATATTAAGTCGCTGATTTTTTTATTTTCCTACCTATTCTAGTAACCTTGAGGGGTTATTCTAGATTCACCGAGCTAGTAGCTGAGCTCATGGGTCTCAAACCGGGAGTGTTGCTAACACTGGCCCTAGCAAGAGCAGTGCTTCGCAGAATCTACCACCGGATCGGAAACGCGACCCACTGAGAAGATCTGGCGAGAAACTCAGTGGGCAGTCGTTGATAATTAACCAGACACACCCTCTAAAAACTTTGGCCTTAGACCTCTGATTTGGATTCAACGAAACTTTTATTAATTACAGTTGCGAGAACCGTACGTATGGTTATTATGCTGACATTGACAATGACTGTCAAGTGTTCCACGTGTGTCTACCGACTCAGACCCCGTCTGGACGAGCCGTCACGTACAGATACAGTTTTATTTGTCCTTCCGAAACTGTGTTCAATCAGGTATGGGGATCTATATGAGATTTAGTGACGAGAATGACCTACTTAATTTTATATGGGTGGACGAGCCCACACAGCCCACCTGGTGTTGAGTGGTTACCGTAGCCCATAGACATCTACAGCGTAAATGCGCCACCCACCTTGAGATATGAGTTCTAAGATCTCAGTATAGTTACAACGGCTGCCCCACTCTTCACGCTGAAATCTATTACTGCTTCACGGCAGAAATAGGCAGGGTGGTGGTACCTACCCGCGCGGACTCACAAGAGGTCCTACCACCAGTAATTTCAGTTTAACTTAAGATAAGCAAAGAGGTATCTGAAGACCACAGTCAGGAAGCTGTTTATTGTTATTGACGACGAAATAGTTCTCGACTTACTTTATCTTCATTCTAAATGTGTCTTTCGAAGGATGTCCAACGCTTTTTTATGATGCAATCAGCATTTATGAAGCCACACTGGCTATCTTGGCTATTAAGTTTGAGCACTGAACCTTTAATCACTATAATTGACATTTCCGTTTTATGTTTTAAGGTGGTGAGCTTATCTCATATTGCGAGCCAATAGTGGCTTTGATGACGATTGAACATTGCCTTGGTAGCAAATTGGTGTGGATTGGAAGAGACCTATGTCCAGCAGTGGACGACCGTGGGCTGGTGATGATGATGATTGATAGCAGAGCTGCTTCTGAGCTCATTCGTTTCATGGCAAGCCCAATGCCACCTTCACCACATGATTTTCGTTCCGTCTCATGATATGGCCATACCATCTAAGGCGATTTCCGTCATTTTGTCTGTGATTAATGCGACTTTTCATGTACTAAATAAACTAAATTTCCTATCCAATTTCCATTTTCAGGAAGTTCTAACTTGCACCAGACCCAGAGACGCGATCGAATGCGAGGATTCTGTGTTATATTACGATCTAAACGAGGAAATAGGGAAGGTGCCGAACAAAACTGAAGAGCAGCCGCCTGTCAACGCCCAACAACCAACGAAAACCAGCAGTCAACAGAAGGAAACCGAAACCTTACCTGCTACCAACCAGAGGAGGACACCGAACAAACGGAAACAGAGCCTGATCATTGAAAGCCTCATGAAAGAGGTCGTCAACGATGACTTGAGACAGAAGCTAATTGAATTCGCTGAGCAGCACACTGATGATATACCAGATAGTCCAGAAATACCTGAGGAACTCGGGCTTGAGGAAGGAGCAGCTGTTTCTGATGAAGAAGCCGAGGGGCGGATAGCTTTGGAGCGACGAGTGGGCAGGAAACTGGACCGAGGCAGTTTCAGGTTTAGAGCTGACGCTTGAGTCGATTGGTGGACATAATGCTGATGGATTATCAAAGGACAACTCTCCAAATACCACTCGGCTGTGGCCAATTAATGGGTTATATGTGTGACGCAGCTGGCTACCAATAACATCCAAAAATCGTTGCAACGGATCTTTTTTTTTTTAATTGTGGGACTTAATGGCAATCTACATTTTGCCGAAGACCGGGCAAAGTAGAGGAGTTTAAGTATGAAGGCAGATTCTGGCATTACAACGGTAAAACGCTAGAGAGAAGAAGAATGGGATTCAATGGCAACAATAATTAGTTATCTCTGCTTACTTCAAAGTCAAAGCTGGGCCTTCTCATACGTGCCATAAGCGAATCCTAGAGTACTTCGGACACATCACCAGAAAAGACAAAGACAATCTTGAAAAAGTGGTGGTTACTGGCCAAGTGAAAGGTCAAAGATCTGGTTGGTTGACAAGGCAAGGTTGGTCTGATCAGATCCGCCCTACCCTAAATTCTAACCTCTACAATGCTCTCTAAGTAGTCGAAGACCGGACGAGATGGTACAACATCGTGAGAGCGATATTCATGGATGTAGGTTGTCATGAACCTCAGAAATAAACGATTGGAACAATTGGATTGGATTGGATTTCATAGATATGTCGTTTTTCAAACAAGATCCACAATATTCCTAGGCAGCGCGGTGTTGACTCTGCGTCCGTAAGCAGTTGTACACCAGAACCCATTAGTTGGACCACTGTGAATGAACCTTTGAAGACATTAGCTTGTGTTACTGTCATCGATACTGCAAAGTTCATTTAGCGGATATGTGCCAATTTCTCTTAGTAATAATTTTATTGTATAATTTACTTTTATTGAGTAGCCGGGTGCGTCTTTTGTGATTTTGTAAATAGAAATTTTCGAATTGTTTCCACGAGGAGAAATAAAACTTTGAATGATAGTTTTGTTGTTATTTGAGTTAAAGAGTGGGCAAATGTAGTGACTTACTTAGTTTCTATTGAGTAGGTCAGGTCTTATAAGGTCTAAGAATCGAAGAGAATAAAGCAATAGAGAACCAAGACACTCTTCTTTATTAAAAACTACATCGTGAACTTAACAAAACTCAGCAGAAATACTTGCGTAAATACTTGTGGTTGGACCTCATGTGAGTCCGCCCGGATAGGTACCACCACTCTGCCTATTTCTACCGTGAAGCAGTAACGCGTTTCGGTTTGAAGGGTGGGGCAGCCGTTGTAACTATACTTGAGACCTTAGAACTTATATCTGAAGGTGGGTGGCGCATTTACGTCGTCGATGCCTATGGGCTACGGTAACCACTTAACACCAGGTGGGCTGTGAGCTCGTCCTTCCATCTAAGCAATAAAAAAAAAGAACGCAGCTTCATTGTGTGTGACGTCATTTGAGGCCAAAACTTACAACGGAGTACAAATCTATGGTAAGTTAGACAAGACATTAAAATATAATTTCAATTAAAAGACATATCTATGTTATTCAAACATCTGTACTTTCCTATACCCCTGGCCTAATATAGAGCTTCATTCCCGAGGGACTAAAAGCGTGGGTAAAAAACACGCTCGCTATGCTTCGAATAGAAATGCGAAATAAGCAAACAGCTCGATCACAAGATACTGCTAGTTCGTTCTCTGTGAAAAGAAATGTAAAATATGAGATAGGTTTTTAAAGAAAATTAGACGGTAGTTAGAATAACATTCAAATGTCATAGCACCTTAGTCGTTCTGCGACCACGGGAGCTGTGACATATTTGAAATAATGTAATTTAGGATTGGTAAGAAGAGAACGTAAGAAAATAGTTTGGAATAGAGCGTTAAGATGTGAGTGGGAGACAATGGTGAGAAAGGAAAAGGAAAATGACAGAGAAAAGCAAGATGGCGTAGTCGATTGAATGAGCAAGCGTAAAAAAGGTGTCAGCTAATTTTTAATTATAACTAGCTGACCTGGCAGACTTCGTAGTGCCTCAATTGATAAATAAAACTTTTGTATAAAATTAACTTAAAAAAACAAAAGGAACCCCTCCGACGGGGGACACATCAGAGGAAAAAAAAATTGTTATTTTTATTTAATTTCGAGCATTTTCATATTTATCTACCTTTTAAACCTTCTCTGGACTTCCACAAATAATTCAAGACCAATATTAGCCAAATCGGTCCAGCCGTTCTCGAGTTTTAGCGAGACTAACGAACAGCAATTCATTTTTATATATAGAGATAACAGAGAAGATTTGGGAGGAGAACAATAAAAGTACAACAGTGGAATAGTTTTATTTTATGCACCACGATCCCAATCCTGCACTAATAATAATAAAAAAACGCCAAATGAATCTAGTTTCTAAATCTAGTTATCTAGTAGGTTCTAAATCTAGTTTTAATTATATTCTCAACGAAGTCAAAATAAGTTTAAAAAAAACTAGACAAAGATTTCTAAACGCAAATCACAGCATCGACCTAAACGATCTAAACAAAACATTTACACGCATTTCGAATTTGACACGTTTCCGCTGAAGTCGTCGGGACGTGGAGTTAATTAAAAATCGAATTTCACAGCAATAAAGGGGGGAAAATGGAAAAGCAACAATAGCCGAATCTAATTGCGATAACCACGCCTGATTGCATCGGACGATTGATAACGAAACTAACTTATACGAACGCGGGCTCCGCGAATATGTCATAAAAATGTTCCTCGTAATATTATTTCTTATATCCGGTAAAGTTATCGTTGGAGGCGAAGATAGCGACGAATCTAAATACATTGACTTGCTTCCCGAAGAGGAGAAAGAGAACTTTCTCCAACGTATTGCTAAAAGGATATTCGAAGAAAACAATGTAGCGAATGCTGAAGCTAAAGTAAGCGGAGAATTACACGATGAACAGTTGGAGCAGCATGATGATTTCGTTAACAAGATCCTTAAAGAGGAAACTACGAATGCAAGACGTGACGAGGCAGACGACCAAGACGATGGATTTAAAGTAAAACCATTAGAAAGAGAAAGAAGATCAGATTTTAACGAAGAAGTGGTTTCGGGCAATGTCGCTGATACCAACGTAGACGGGAATATAGAATTATATGATGGCTCTAAGAACCATACTGTATCAGAAGAAAAAGACACAGATAGTAAAGAATCTGAAATAATCTTAATCAAGCCGTTACCAGAAGAAGACATTGCTAGCACTGATACTGTTAATTACAATTACGACGAAACAAATCAAACAACAGCTACTGATGACATGTTATCGACAACGTACGGTACCATACAAATCACAGATAAACCCGAGATCTTTTTAAATGAAACACACATATTTTTAAAAGCTAGATCAGACTCTAATTTAACAGTCGAGAGATGGCAAGATAAAAATTTTACTTACCCAATAAATATTATAGAGGCGACTACGAATGATTTTCGTAATCCAACCATTACAGATGAAGGCGTGGAAGTAATTTCAGAAGACACTCCGACTAACATAGACACAAATAATACAGTAACAGAGGCATCAGTTAGCCAAAGTGATAATAATTATAGCAGTATTCTTGTTAATAAAACTGACAGTATAGTTCTAAGTACCACTACAAATTCTACGGAAAATGATTCTGAAATAACTACTAATAATACAATTGAATACAAAAATAATCTAAACGTTAAAAACAACGTAGAAAGATCTAGAGTCTCGCTGAGTTTTAGTAGTGACAATAAGGTGCTGAATGATGACATGAAAACCAAAAAAGAAAATTCAGATGCAGGTAATAATAATAATGTTTTGGATGAAAATTTGAGTCATTACAGAAATGAGAAAAGACCACGCTTAAGAAAGAAACCGAAGAATGAACGAGAAAGTTATATTGTGTATGAAATAGGTAAGTTTATTTAAAAAAAACAAAATGTTATCGATTATATTTTTCACTTGAATGCTATAATTGCGATGGCCTCAAGCAATTTACAGTTAATTGTAGACTAGGCGAGATCACGTCCTAATGGAAGTAAAGGAGCTACAGTAGTCCAAAGGCAGATAGATACAATATCGGTGCTAATGTCATTCTCGAGAGAGAAAGTTGAAATCGCAGTAGCAATCGAATTGTTTCTACTCCGATCCATGAATTAGAACCGAATGCATTACTGGTTGCATTCGTGGTCGGAGCGAGTCCATACGGGTACATTACCACCACTCTGCCTATTGTTGCCGTGAAGCAGTAAGGCGTTTCGGTTTGAAGGGTAGAACAGCCGTTCTGCTGTTAAATGGAGAGCTTAGAGCTCTTGCTTTAAGATTGTTGGCGGCATTTACGTTGTGGATGTCTATAGGCTCCGAGAACCACTGAACATCAAGTTGACCGTGATCTCGTTCAAAATTAATTGGTGCTTGGCGGTATAAATTGGAGTATGCATCTTAACTGCAGATAGCAGGATGCTGGTATTATAAAGAGATAATGTTATGTCTCATTTTCCAACTAATCCACTATGAACGACCCACACGGGAAGAAACTGACCGTTGCTATATCAGACCATCATAACATAGCTGTGTTTTTTGTAATACCTACCTAATAAACCTCTATGGCTCGTAAGATACAATATTACCGTACATTAGTATCGATACGATTACAATAAAGTCATTGTTTCAGATCCGACTCGACCATTCACCGCTAAAGGCATCATTACCAACGCGGAACAACCACACTACGTTCCGATATATGATTACTCATCGAAAAACGCTTATTTCAATCCCAAGAACCTCAACGGACCGAATCACGACAACAAAGAAGCCATAACTGATACAATAAAACAAATAAATACAATTCTAAACGGATATAAAGTCGGAGGACAATTGAGTTTACCTGTAATTGCTGGGAATGGAAACGGTGCTATTGGCAGAGAGATGCCGCAGGCTATTTACGTCAGTCAACACAACGGTGATGCCGAGCTTTTGTCATCTGTTCACCCTTACCGGAGTTACATTCCGGATACGAATGAAAACTTCTATTCGTATAGCACTATGAACGGCTTAAAGGACGGCCTTAGCGCCGTCCGGAAGATACTCTACGAGAAGCAACGCTTCGGTTTCGTGGACCCAGACAAGTCGTTTGAGTACGTAAG